TTAATTCAAGTGTGAACAGACTAAGTAGATTTGGAGGACTGAGTAGTCTTTTAAAAAGTAAGACTATAAATTACCCAGTTAGTAAGTTCTATTGTTCTGTAGCACTGTAAGGTAACTACAATTAACAACTTATTGTATATTTTCAAACATCTAGAAGAACAGATTTTGAATGTTCCCAACATAAAAAACATGCTAAATGTTTGAGATGACGAATATGTTAACTACCATGATTTGATCATTCCATATTGTATACATGTATTGAAGTATCACACTGTATCCCATAAGTATGTACAATTATTATGTGTCACTTAAAAATAAGAACATAAAAATAAATTACCCAGTTAACTAGTTAATAAGAGAATAAATCATAGCAATTATGGCCACACGATGCTGTATGATGTAATGTGTTGACAGCTGAAGTCAGACTGTCTGAACTTAAATCCTAGCTCCACCACTTAACAATAATAACAATAAAGTACTTGACTTTCAAGGTCTCAGGATGTCCATCTGGAAAAGGCATAATAATAGCACACGACCTTATAGGATTACTGTTAGGTGAATTCATGTAATGCACACAGTATAGTGCCCCGCATGACGGTGGATAGATGAGTGGCTGGACAGACAGAACAAGTATTCTACAGCCATTATTATTACTATTGTTTTTATCATAATCATCAAGTCATTTCTTAAGTACTTACTGGAAATGTATATGATTTTCCATTAGGAAAAACGACCTCAGCTGCTTCAACTCTATAAAACAAAAAAGCCAGAAATAAAATACTTAAGAAAAAAAATTCACCATAAATTCTAGAAATGTGTATGGTTAACAAATCTTTCATTTGGTCTGCAACTACAGCCTCATTACATTCAATCTATCACACTCCAACACTGTTTGGATTAATCTTCCTGTATACAACATTATTCTAACATTTCATTCCCTGTGGCTCCTATGCCCCTTTGCGTAGTGCCCACTTAAAAAGTTTATTTCCCAGTACTGCAAAGCATGCATCCAATATGGACCCCGTGCCAATACTGATACATACACTTCCAGGCTTTACTAGCGCAGTGTATTATACAACAAAAGCTAACTGATACAACCACCGAAATCCGAATGAATTTAAAAAAATGACAACTGCCCATATAATTTCGGTTATGCTTTCTACAGTTACATATTTCTTTTGAATTATAATTAATACTCTAGAATAAACTATGACGCTAGTATATAGTAAGGGCCATATAGATTTGTTATATGATTTTTTTTTTAATTAAAAATATGCTTTGGGACAAGGTACAGTGACTCATGCCTGGAATCCCAGCACTTTGGGAGGATGAGGTAGGAGGATCACTTGAGGCCAGGAATTCAAGGCCGGCCTGGGCAACATAGTGAGACTCCATCGCTACAAAAAAATTTTTAAAAATTAGCCAGGCATGTAGTCCTAGCTACCTGGGAGGCTGAGGCAGGAGGATCACTTGAGCACAGGAGTTTGAAGCTATAGTGAGCCATGTTGCGCCACTGCACTCCAGCCTGGGTGACAAAGTAAGACGCTATCTATCAAAAAAAAAGGCTTTAGAAAAAATACAGTCATCTTACTAATATATATGGAATACATGCTTTGCTTTTATATATGCTTCTCTACCTTTGCTTAACTGTTTCATTTGCTGTTCCTCCATCTATACGTTCTGAAATCCAATGATCACTAAACACAGCTTAAATTTCATTGTCACCATGAGTCCTTCCCAGCTTGCTTCAGCTGGCAGTAAGTTGCCCTTACAACCAGAACATTACTGAAACTTTTTAAAGTACTTGTCACTTTTTCCTTAAATATTATTTATGTATGTCTTATCTCCCTGAACAGATTATATATTCTAATTACAGGAACCACATTTTTCATCTTTATATTTAGCACAAGGCCTTAGTGCCCTGCCTTCAGAACAGCAGGACATCAATAAAGGTGCTGAATGAACTTACGTAAATTGATTCTCACAATATTCACTGAACATGGTGACAATAATATCAAGAACTATTTTTGCCTGCAAAGAAGAGAAACAAATACAAATATTATGGGAGTCTATAAATATATTCTCTTCAGATAAAAATGAATTAATATTTAATATGATTTATTTCCCCAAACATCTAAAAATGGACCTTTATATCCTAAGAAAGGAAGTAGAATAAAAACTT